ATCTTAATCCGGTTGTAAGGATCACTGAGCTTGTAACTATATGAATACTAGAAACAACTTGTAATACAGTCGCGAACGTTTTTGTGTGCGCGTTCTATGTAAATGAGAGTGTAGTTGTTGCTATAATCCATGTATAGAAAACATCTATCACTATCATCCTTTCTATATTTCAACTTTCGTACTTTAAGTGCAAAAAATTATTTAGAGAAAAGATTCGAATCGAAATTATTAACCGTTATTGTTTTCCGGTACGAAAACAATAATTGTTAACAATTGTTAATTTAATTTTCATTATTGATAATGGTTTCTTCAGTTACAAAAAATTAACTTATAACTATCTTTTATTTTCGATCAGTATGTACATGAGAACGAGTTGCGCCCCTTTTATTTTAGTGAATACATGAGATATTAGCATATCGATACTCGATGTGCTAATATCTCGTGTATCTCACTAATGTCTCGTGTATTTTACTAAAAATCTCGAAAATTCTTATTACCTGAATCAATATGCTAATATCTCAGATATTCAGTGATTTATCATCTACATAGCTAATATTTCCTGTGTTTTACTAATATCTGGTGCATTCCACTAATATCCCGTGTATGTCACTAAAATCTCGTGTATTTTGTTGATATCTAAAATCGCGAGATATCAGGCATTACTGAGGTAAACCGGTTTCTACTATTAATTTCTTGATAATGGATGTTTTTTGAATAACTCGAGAACGAAAAGAAACAGATAGTTTGGGTTTTCAGCATTTTGCAGAGAAGACTTTACTTTGTTTCGCATGTATTTTGTGCTAAAAAGTTCGGTTTTTCAGGTGGTGTGCCTGACGGATGAAAAGCGATGACGTTGCCGGATTCTGAATCTGCGGTGGATTTTTAATTGTAACGAGGTGGCTAGATAGTTCAAAGTGTTCTTTACAATTCTGTGCAAGGTCGATCTATCTGTCTGTTATCGTTCTCGAATGGCAGATATTTTCCTGAGCCACCCGTTATTAGTTACCATTTCGCCGGGTAAATGCCTATCATTCGAGAACCACAACAGATAGAGAGGTCAATCTTGTGCAGAATTGTAAATAACACTTTACTCTATCTAGCCCCTAGGGTAGAATCCTTCAAATTCAGATTCGATCGTCCTCTTCAAACTGACATAGTTTGAGTGCACATATAAGGTGTGGGAAACACTGCGGTGTGAAACTCTTGTCAAAGATTCTGTAATAACGGTATGATATAAACGGTATATAATAGTCTAGTACCGAGATCGGCACGGGCCGAGCTTTTGACCAGGAAGGTTTTAAGACACGGCTGGTCGGGCTCGGACCTCAAGGTTTTTTTGTCGGACAAGGCCAGGCCGAAGACTTCTCTTTCTTTGCGAGTGCATATGGTTATAATACATCAAAAAAGTCATTATATTTAGTATAAACATCTTCTCATACTTTGTTTTGTACACTGAACTATCGAGGATAAAAAATATTGATTTAATTTGTTTCCTACATCGTCACGTTAATGCCATTTATTATTCATTTAACACGGTTCTAATTGTTCCTTTTTATAGAAGTTGCTTGAACCCATAAGACGAAAAAGACGATTATTAGTATACATACCAGCGTCACAAAACCAAGTACAGGTGCTTTTATTCTTTTTAACTGCTAATTCTGCTACATCTCTAAAAGGAAGATTTGTTTCACATGAATGAGAATTGATAATAATTAAATTTTTCTATAAAAGATATTTCTCAACAGAACCAAATTCGACGTTATTAGAAAAAATAAAATTTTGAATAATTAAATGCTTGCTAATTTTTGTGGATGAGCTTGAATATAACGTTTATCGATTTTGTTCGGTTATTAATAGTAGATGAAAAAACTTTGTGAGTATAGAAGAGAACAATATCGGTAACAAGTGGATATGAGTTTAGTAGGAGAAAGCTGTGGATTATGTTTAATAGTAATTCGAGATCAAAATACATTTTTATCGGCTGTCCACGTTGAATAATTTCGCGAAATGGTAGTAGACGACTGGAATTTGTTTGTAAAACGATAAAAAATTTAATAATATCGCCAACGAGGAAATAGAAAACGACCGATTGGTGGTGATTCGAAAGCGAACAATCGGATATCAGCTGTAGCTGGAGAATCGAAATGTCGGACAGAGTGCCGATAATCCAGTGCGCGTTTCAGCCGTTGAAATATTCTCATTGTTAGTGTATTTTCCAAAGGAAAGGTATTGAAGTGACAGTTCGACATGATGTAATGAAACTATAATAACAAGATTGTTAGAAAGATATCAAGAAGCATTTGCGCAAAAGGATTTGAACCAATAGATTTTTTTAGCCGCTCGTATAGAATGTCTGTTGAAGTTATGCGTTGAAGATTCTTTATAGACTATCCAGGAAAAACGAGTAGACGGCGGCACATGAAAAGCTTTTATTGAGCATTTTATATAAAATCAAACCGACGTTATACTCCCCAACTAAATTTCACGAAAGAATGATGGTCACACTATATGGAAAAACTGGATGAGAAAGTCCAAGAACATAAAGATCTCGATGGCATCTATCTGTAACTCAATAGGGAACTCAACATGGAAAAACAGAATTGTTGGATTACTACGTCAAAACAATCCGTCTGAAAGTTTATCGATGTTCAAGTGGTATCAAATTCAGATTCAAGAATTTCCACGTCGGTTACTACGACCTCATCGTGTTCGAAAATTACAACTTGGCGAACTATGGACAAATTGAACCATCGTTGTTCCGATACTCGATGAAAAACCAGTCGTCACTCAAATCAAATATCACCGAGCAGCCATAACAATATAAACATCAACAGTCAAATAACAATATTGTTTCTTGCACTCTTGTTTCCCAATTCCTCCTCTCCGTGAAGTCGCGCAACGTTGTCACAACAGCGATTCTCTCCTTCTAACTCATCCGTGTACCAATTGTTAATTTTTATTAATTTTTTAATGTTTTTTAAAGCAGTATCATCCAAACCTCGCTAAAAACTTGCATAAACGTTACAAGGTCAAATCAAAACCTTTCGAATTAGCGATGAACGATAGAGAAGGGAAGTGCTTATATTTTTCATGAAAGTGATGCAGATCAGATATAGCACAGATAATTTGTAATATGAATCAAGAAGCTGGGTTAACAGAGTAGACAGACTTGCTGTGAAAAATAAACCTAGGCCTACATATACCATAGATTCCCATACTGTCAATATCAGGCCCGTAGCCAGGATTTTTGCGAAGGGCGATCGATTTTTTCCCTTCAGACATACTGTGAAGTCTTATCAACTAGCAACTCTTTCTGACGGGATTCAGCGGAAAAAAATCATCTTTTCAATAGTCAAGAAGGAAAACGGTCTCCCAGTCTCCCTTGACTATGGCCCTGGTCAATATCGCCGGTATTTTTTCACAGCACTAACGCGTTTTCACGTCAAATTCTGTATTCCTTGCATTTTGCACCTTTCTTGCGTAGTTTATTAGTGTGCAGTGTCTAAATCTTTCCTAATAAGAAAGGACATGAGAATACTAACCAAATTTATCTGTCATGAAATGAAATTCCTGAATTAGACCAGCGAGATAAAAATAACTTGGAGTGTTGCTAGTTGCAAGGTTGTGGACGTCAACAACCTTTTAGTCGACGATCATGGTGCCATTTTCCGATCAAATTATTCTTGGCCCATTATCTTTCAAAGTACTCGACCACTACACTCGGTTCAAATATCACATGGTACACAATTTCGCTTTGCATAAACACTTATTAACTTTTGTTGAAAACACTGCACGTATTGGTCAGGACGCAGAGAAGTGGAGAAAATATCAGTGTAGACGTGGAAGCCCGGTAAACATTCAAAATCGACTATCAGAAAAAACTTGATCTCATCAGTTGCGCGATTACTTTTTTTTTTAACAGAAGAAAAGCGGCCTCTGCAACCCAGCATAAGAACTGTTTTCGTTTTTAAAATTTTACAGTTTTTTACAGTTTCGCAGATATAGTGCATGTCTCAATAAATTGATGGAAAATCAACCGCCCGTCACCAGCACCAAGGCATTCCTTTCAACCGAAAAAAACACTCAGTTTCTTTCTTAGCCTGTTCAAATGGTTTCGGAGTTGCGTACGGCCAAAAATGGGTGCTGAAGCTGCATTCGCTGATTGTTCCGCTCACGACTTTCCATGCTGACACTTTCACGTCGACATTTCCATGCGCGACACTCCCATGCACAACAGTTCTGCGCAAGGACCATCCCGTGCGGGAAAGCCATATGCAGACTAACATCATATCCAAATGTAATCAGTAACCCACAAAAAATTCAAGTCATCACTTTTTATAAAGTTTTCAACCGTTTATTGATTCGATAATTTATAAAATATGATGATTTGAATTTTTTGTGAGTTTTAATTGAATTTGAACGATTTTGTTTGCATGAAGCTTTCCTGTGCGGACCAGCCTTTATGCGGTAATGTCATGCGCAGGACAGTCGTGTCACGCAAAATTTGTTATATCTTGGAATGATAATAGAAATGAAGCTAGAATATTTTCTATGTGCATGTTGAGCATCATCAGCATATTCACCAAGTTTGCGCCTAATGACATACAGTGGAGCGAAGATCTTATATTGAGGAGTAATGTTAAAAATTAAAAGCCGATGACAAAAACATTTCAAGATACGATTAATCAATAACTTATTTTTTTTCCTTGAAAATTTATATAACAAAACTGTGTATGAACATAGTCAACATTTTATAGTACAAACTGAAATTACAGAGAACTAGACAATCGTTTGCTAGTTTCGAAAAAAATGAGCACGTCGCCAGTTCTCGTAAACGAGACAAAACGAAATGGCTGCCTAATAACACTATTTTTTAGATTTATTCTTTTAAGAAAATTATCAACTAGCTTTGCTACATTACTACAAAATAAATAATGGCTCTAGGAACAACCTTAGATTTTAGCATAGCACTCAACCAAGTGGATCATTTTTTCCTAGTATGCTGGTACTTTAAAATTTCCTTTTGCTACTGTTGACAACGTTTGTCTCATTTACACAATAAAGGAGCGAGGTAAAAGTCTTTTTGATATTGTCTGTCATTGCTATTTATGAAATAGTTGCCTAATAACATTGTGTGATTCCCTAGGTATACATTTTTTTCAGGAAATCATCAATTAGCTTTGAATTATGCAGAAAAAGCTCACAATCTTCTTAATACATAAAACTTACCAATTAATCATCCTAATTATGTCACATACTATAAAAATAAAGCAGTAAACCAGATTAAGTTAGGACAATATGAAAAAGCTATAGAGAACTTTATCAAAACCTATAATATACAACGAAAATCATGGACAAAAAATCATTTAGCTTTTGTATCAATATTAAATATTGGAAATGAGTATTTTAATTTAAAACAAAATCAGTTAGCATTAGAATATTTTCACTCTGCAATTAATATTCAACAACTTTATTTGCCAAATGATCATTTTGAATTTCCATCCCTTTATCATATAACTGGTGAAACATATTTAGTACAAGGGCAATTTGTTTATGCATTAAAATATTATAAACTAGCATTAGATTGTCATTTAAAAATATTACCATTAAGTTTCATATATGAACATCGTACAATTACTTTGAAAGAAGCCAAATTTAATTATAGCTATTTCGCATAAATTTTAAAAACATTTCTAAATATTGAAGTTATGTATTGTTTACCCAAACATTCAAAATCAATAGTGCAATTTAAATCCAATTATAATCGAATTGGTATTCTTTATTATATAATGAAACAATATGATTAATCTTTAGTAAATCAAGAATTGGCATGGACAATATATATATAAAATCATTGCCGCGGGATTATAATTTATTAGCAGCCTCATCAAATAAATCTAATAAAATTCTTTTTGAAAATAAGAATTGATCAAGGTCACGCCGCGACTTCGCGACATTATAGTGATCGCGACTCGAATATAAGATTTCATCACAATCGCACCGCGACATGCAGGATATCATAGTGATCGCGCCGCGAATGACGCGTGACAGTGGACCTGAGTAATGTTTCAGAAAAGATTTATTTACACATGAAAGAAATTAAGCAAAAGAATAGATTAGTGTGATATATTTGTAGCATTCGAACAGAGATTTTGTGGGGATGTTACTAAGGGTTTTACAGAAAAAATGTCTGTTTTTCAGTACGAAATATATTAACTGAATAACTTCTAACAAGATCAGTTTTCTGCGATGTTTCTTTCGAATATTGTAATAAACTAAAAGAGGAAAAACGGTAATACACTCACACTCCGGTAGCAGACCCTAGAGAACGTACCTGTGCCCAAATACTTGGGACAAGTACTCCGCTTGCGTAATGAAGCCGATACCTGTCTTTTTTCCAGTTACCTTTTTTACATTTACTTGTAAGTACTTGTCTAGTGTGCAAGTACTTAATTTTTCACTTGACAAGCACTTGTTCGAGCGATTTTTTTCTAAAAACATCGTGGAAATTCAGTTCACCTGTGACATACTTCTTCCACTAAAATTTCATTCCAATTACTTACACTTTGTCGGCTTATATAAACTTCATAATTTAAAAAGATGAATTAGATTGCTGTTTTAGTAAAAAAAAGTGTGAAAAATCAACTATACATAATCAAAGTGAAAAGATTAATTTGTTCCTTTGATAACATAAAATACAGTTCACAGTAAAGAAAAACACGGAAAAAGTATTTGTATTTAGGCAAATATGATCACGACAAGCCGGTGCCGACCGATAAACCTGTCATCGGTATACCGACCAGTACCGATACGAAGTTTGTGTACCGGTGACCGGTGCCAGTGTCTCATTTTTGATACCGGTTACACCCCTGATGAGGGTGTATTTTTGACTTGACCTTACGAACGGATTTTGTAGTTATACAGTCCAGCAGATGTACAAAATTATGCATGAAGATAATGTACAGCACTTAGTTTTGAATCACATTTTGATTTATCGGCTTAGGCAGCTAATTGTCACTTCTAATGTAGGGAGCTAAATGGCACGTCTGCGAAACGCCACATTTCGTTGATCAAATTTTGAAATCATTTTTATGCAGAATGATTCTTGCCATTTTGTAGAACTCAGTCGATGGTGTAAGGAAACCTGCTTTTCCTTGCTAGTAGTCCTGGGTCGGCCTGCACAGAGCTTTCAATTATCATATTGTGACATTTTGTTGAATACGGCCTAATTGACCTTTTTGGTGAATCTCGAACTGTCTGAACGGTCTCGCCTGGAGCCTTCATTTAATTACATAACATACTATTAACGAGGGAACCGCCCTAGGTTGCATATCGCTTTCCGGCTAAAACCTAGTGGGTCACAGATAGTCAAGGATGCTGATTCCGAATATAACAATCATTTTGGCCGATAGGTTTGGCTGATAGGTCAAATTGTGACATCAGTTTCCTCATTTAGAATGAGAAATTCGAGGTTCTTTCCGAAAAAAATTCACAACTCCGTCTAGAAACATCATTTTGACTCTTCTTATTTCTTAACTTCAAAATGCAAGAAACGAGTGAAAACCTCTACTAGGCTGTTTTCGTACCGGAAAACAATAACGGTTAATAATTCGATTCGAATCTTTTCTCTAAATAATTTTTTGCACTTAAAGTACGAAAGTTGAAATATTGTTAGGAAGTATAAACTAAATCTCATATCAGCTGTCATCTTTCAATATACATATTCTTATCGTCACTCGATGGTTATTTTCCCTTTCTGTTCTTCTGATATATGTATTCACTCTTCTGCTTTTTA